CTAAACCCCAAACCCCTCGGATGCAGTCAGTTCACTCACGGGGGGCTGCAGCAGGACTGAAGTGTCACATGCCTGCCAGTCTGAGCGAAGCTTACATGCAAATATATGATGCTCAAGCAGTTTTGGTGCCTTGAGGTTTTTCCCACTCTTACCTCTCGGCATGGCAGGGCCAACTACATGGATGGTGAAGATGGAGCTGCTCGGCTGGGGATCGAGAGCTGCAAAGGCGGTCAACGACCTGGAACGGCATGGCTGGGACAGGATGACAGTGTTGGTACACGGACTGCCAACTGCAGAGAAGGACCGGTTGCATTGGCTTGCCATGGGCAACTATAAGCTCCACGGCAACTGGGTGAATCGCTTCCTGATGATAGCGACTTGCCCAACGGTGGTAGCCCTCACGGGCATGTCGAACCCAGAGAATCTGGCCAAGCACTCATATAATATATATATATATATATATATATATATATGAGTATAATATATGATTCTTTTTATATACATTAATATCAATATATATATATATATATAGAATATATAAATAAATAAATATAAATAAATAAATATATATATTTATATTTATACATATATATATAGTATTATAATTATTATTAATTATACATATTATACATAAATATATATATATATATATATATATATGTTGTTTGTGACCTTGTCACGTGAAATCAAACCTTTATCAATAACTATTCAACTTTCTGACATATTCTCCGTTTTGTTTCTTGCGGGTGGAGCTTAAGATGACAAGATTTTTGTTTCTCGGCATCTGAGGACATGCGACCGCTTCCTCGAAGCCGCTATGGGTTTTGCACTGGAGCACAAGCTATGCGACATCGTCATGGCCCTCGACGAGCTGCTGTTGTGCTTCGGGCATATGATCCCGTTCCTCTGTCGCTAGGCTGCATATTATATATATATATATAATAAATATATAAGAAACAGACAGATATATAAATATGTAAATACATATGCCATATGAACTGATTATAATTATAATAATGGTTCTTGTGAAGCCTATCTATATATGTACATAGCAGGAGCTTTCGCCTTTAGCTGAATTAATTTATGTATATATAGATATATACATATATTTCCTTCGGAGCCTTATCCAAGATGACGACATCAAGAGAATGGCGGAGCCCAGCATGTCTCAACTGGATCGGCTCATCCAAGACATGCCACTCGTGAACCAGAGCCAGGCCCGGCAACCCTACAGCTTATTTCTCTCTCTCTCTCTCTCTCTCTCTCTCTCTCTCTCTCTCTCTCTAAATAAATATATATATATATATATATATATATATGGCCTGAACCCTTCAGTCCTAAACCCTGAGCCCTGAACCTGAACATTGTACTCTCCCTGAGGTGGAGGTTTGAGCTGGCCAAAGTCTTCTTCACCAGGAATTTGTGGGGCACCCACCGGGAATAAAACCCGTGCCCACGGCTTAAGGCCTACCTCGGGTTTGCAAAGCCAGGAAAAGAAGTTCGAAAGAATGCTGGACGTTTATATATATATATATATATATATTGCATCGGATATGAATAATTTCCAAAGCATTTGGGAAATAACCTTGAAACTTATTCTAGGACTGATTTTTTACATACTTATTGATTGATTTTTCTGATCCTTTCAGCGAATCTGCATCGGATATGAATAATTTTCAAAGCATTTGGGAAAGAACTTGCAAACGTATTCTACGACTGATTCGTTTTACATACTTATTTACTGATCTTTCTGATCTTTTCAGCGAATCTGCATCGGATATGAATAATTTTTAAAGCATTTCGGAAAGAACAAACAAACCTATTAACACATTTTTTGGACCATATATATTGATTGTTTGACCTGTATATCAACATATGAATATTGAGAAATACAGGGAATGACATGCATTTCCTGGATTGAATACATTTTATACATCATATATATTGACATGCATTTCATTCAACTTACATGATTGTCCAAGTCCTTGTATTTCCAGCACTTACACTAAAGGCCTTGGATTCTGAGGTCTTAGCAAACATGGTCACATTTGAGGTCTTCGGATGCTTAGGGTTATCGACCCCTTAATGAAACCCTGAAAGGGGAACCCTACTTGAAGGATCATGTGACTTGGTAACTAGGTTATGCATAAGGTAACTAGACAAACAGTTACTAATAACCCCAGTTAGGGTACTTCTAACCTTGCTTACTAAGTCCCTTGATCCTCCGAGTAGACCCTAAACCCTAAACCCTGAAGATGCCCTTAAGGAACCCTATGGATCCGTTTACATTCGCCCAACCGCTCTGGGCCCTCGCACCCTCGAGCCACGTCTCCCAAACTGGCGTGCTGTCCGCGATCCTGCGACCACCGCGCTGCGGGAGTTTGGGCTTCAGGGGCTAGGGCTTAGGGCTTTAGGGACTTAGGGATTTAGGGTTTACAGGGTTTAAACCTTAAACCCTGAACCCTAAACTTTAAACCTTAAGCCCTAAACCCTAAACTTTAAACCTTAAACCCTAAACCCTAAACTTTGTACCTTAAACCCGCAACCCTAAACTTTAAACCCTGAACCCTGAACTAAAAACCTTAAACCCTAAACCCTAATCCCTGAACCCCCAGGCCCTCCACCCTCCGCTTTCCAATCCGAGGTCTTGAGGCTTAGGCTTGGGGTTCCTTTAAAGGGGTCTATAAGGCCTTCATAATTAGGTTCCCCTGAAGGGCTCGTTTTAAAAGGGGTCTATAAGGGTTACTACAAGGGATCTAGAAGGAATCTATAAGGGTACTGTAGTGATGTAGGAACCTGATCCTACATTAGGCTTAGGGCTCTGAAGTTCGAGGCTTCAGAGCTGCAGGTTTTTCTTTGGATTTGGGGCTTAGAGCCTGCAGGGTTCAGGGTTTAGGATTTAGGATTCAAGGTTTCGGGGCCTTTGGGGATTGGGGTTAGGGATTCAGGGTTTCGGGGCCTTTGGGGATTGGGGTTAGGGGTTTAGGGGTTTAGGGGTTTAGGGGTTTAGGGGTTTAGGGGTTTAGGGGTTTAGGGGCTTAGGGGTTTAGGGGTTTAGGGCTTGGGGTTTAGGGGTTTAGGGGTTTAGGGCTTGGGGTTTAGGGGTTTAGGGGTTTAGGGCTTGTGGTTTAGGGGTTTAGGGGTTTAGGGGTGTAGGGGTGTAGGGGTGTAGCGTTGCATTAGGGTTTAGGTATGGCCCATGGCCGAGGGTGAACACTCTCCAGATCTCTCCAGAACAGGAAGCTCAGCCTGAAATTTCAAACTCAACACCCAGGGTTTAGGGTTTAGGGTTTAAGGTTTCGGGTTTAGGGTTTAAGGTTTAGGGTTTAGGGTTTCTCAGCCGCCCCCGTGCCTGACCGCTCGTGCACCGTTCTCCTTCGGAAGATTAGATCAACACTGGATCTGTGGCTTCGGCTTCTGATTCTTGGGCAACTCTTGGTGCCAGAGTTCTTCAGACTTGCACCCCTCTTACACCCAAACCCTAAGTTCAAAACCCCACACCCCAACAAAAAAACAGTGGGTCTAGTAGAGGGCTTGACGGTTGAGGCTAAGGGATTCAGGGATCTTGCTTTCTCACAATTGTAGTGAGGGGGTCTCAAGTGTCAGTGTTGAAACGGAAAGGTTAGAAGGGGCCCCCACCCTGTAATAGTGGTATAATAGGAATATGATAGGTCCCTATATAATATAATCCTTATAGTCACCATTACAGGGTGGGGGGCAGCTTCTAACAGAAAGGTAGAATAAGACGAATATAGCTGCTTCAATAACTAGAATAAGGTTCTGGTGTATATTATACTACAGCTATAGTAAGGAACTACTAAAATAGTAGTGTTACTGACGACGGCCCCTTATATTAGGCTCCTGAGTGGACTCCTTACTAATAAGGGTAATTCTTTTTCTCAAATATTCTGTTTTAACAAGGAGACTCCACAAGTAAAAAGGGCAAAAGGGTACTACTCAAGAACCTGAAGACTGGGGCCCTAACCCCCGGCCTCCTTAAGCTCCTACAGAAAAATCCTAAATAAACAAACCCTAAATCTACCCGAATTAAAACCCTAACTAAACTCTAAATACACCTTAACTAGACCCTAATTACACCCTACATAGACCCTTAACAAAAACCCTCTAAGGCACCAGAATCTCAAAAGCAACCACAAACCTCTGATGCCTGGCAGCTCAGTGATTCGGTGTTGATTTTTGGATCTTCGGCTTCAGGGCTAGGCTTTGATTACCTTTGGTTAGTAGGGAATGGAGGCAAGGGGGTACAAGTATAACTACTATTACTACCATAGGTAAGTTTGGGTTTAAGGTTTAGGGCTTGAGGCTTAGGGCTTACGGCTTCGAGCTTCGAGTCTAGAGGGTTTCGGATTAGTAACCCTGAAAGGAACCCTAATAACTCTCATTACTAAGTCCCATGATCCTTTAAGTAGGGTCTTGGGTGCGGGTCGGTCGCGCCGTGAGGACGTACTGCCGCATCCCGCAGCGCTCGAGCGTGGCTTTGGCCTGCAAGCTGCAGGAAACCCACTCAGACATTACTGCATCTAATAATCTCATAGGGTTTAGGGTTTAGGGGCATTACTGCATCTACTAGACGGGCCGGAATCAGTAGGAATACAACCTATCACTACTGGAGAATACGCCCCCATGCCCTGCTCCAGCCAATAATGCCCCTATTCTACGTTTCATTCACCCGGCCAGAAGTCTGTCTGGTTGTATACGACTTGTTGATGGCTTGATATGTTGCAAAGTTTTGCCATCAAGCCTACAAAGAAAGCCTCCAACATAGAGGCTCCATGCACGACGAAACACACTCTTCGTTTTAAAGGGAACTCCAGAAAGTTGGAATATGGATTAATGGTAGGATCCCCTATAATTACCTTAAAGGGGTTACGATAATGATATGCCAACTTTCTGGCTTCTACTGTAGGGTTTGGGGTTTATAGGGGTTTCGGGCCCACTTATGCCACTCTGCTGTGCAGGGCGATCAGGAGAGCTTTTTGCTAGTCGCGCAGACGCCGGAAAATCCGCAGCTCCTCGCAACGGCGTGCGGATGATGTTACAGCCCTGGAAATTCATGTCACTAACTACCATGAATCCACGGTCACGGCATCAACTAACCCCCCAAACCCCAAACCCCACATCTTTACTCTTCTTGAGATAGGAGTTGTTATGCTTATGCGTGCCTTCATCGTGACAACTGCAACATCACTATAGTGGCCTGAATTAGTTGAACCTGGCTTGGGGGCATATTAAGCTGTGGCTATGATAGTGCAAAACAGCTTTGCTATGTATGCACGGCAGATTGCATACACCATCTTCCGTGCAAGTGCTTAAGAGCTTAGAAACACACTAAGTCAAATCTAGACACAGCGTCGGGTTTAGGATTATATAGTTTAGGATTTCAGTTGTAGGGTTTAGAACTTTTGGGGTTTGGGGGTTAGAACTAAAGATTCAGCGTCCAGGGTTTAGTAATCATAGCAGTAGCAATAGCAATAGAAATAGACATAGAAATAGAATAAAGAACTTAGAGTCAAGGACTGGGCTGTTAGGGTTGAGGGTGTGATTCAGTCTGCTGGGCCGCAGAGCTCCCTGAATGAAGGAAGAGAGAGGCGGGGCCCAGCCAGCACGCAGGGTTAAGACGACCGTGCTCTGAATGAAGTTTGGTTTAGGGTGTAGGGGTTTGCAGACTTTCATCAGCTCAGAACCTCAGAGCTCAAAAAGACCCTGAACCCGCAAAGCCTCCACCAAACGCTCCCCGGCAAGACAGCTCAGAAAAGTCCTTGAAGCGCCCAACTCCACGGCTGATCCGAACATCGCCTTCCAAACACTCAGGGTTAGGGAATAGGGCCCCTAAGCCCTAAACCCTAAACAGGGTTTCCTTTGTGTGGCTTCAGGTCGGTGTTTATCTGGCATAGCCAAGTGGCGGACGACACAACCTTCTTTTCAGTAATGCAGGCCTGTAGGCAAAACAGCAGACATGCTCGTCCGATGCCCAAGTCATCCTGGAACACAGACATTATAACAACGTGTCGAATGTGTAGAGTTTGATGAAACCGACATTCCGTTTTCTGCCTTTCCGCGACCACTCGCACTAGGAACCAAGAACTTCCATGGTTGAAAGTACTGGCTACGCAGCAGGACGGCTCGCTGTGGTGATGGTGGTACTTGGTGTGTGGCCTCGGGCCTGTTCTGATCACGTATCCTGCTGTGATTAGCATCCGAGTTTTGACTATATATTGCCAACGCAACTGCAGCAATGGTATTCTGCCTCACATCCACAGTCTCATATCCTCAACCTCCGAAGCCCGCATACCTGAAGCATTCCAAGCCGTTAAAGCCTAAAGCCCCGTCCCGACCACCCTGAGCCCAAGTTTTTCGGCAAGCCCCCTAGTGAACCCTCAATCCGACACCATAATCCCGAAACCCTAAAGCCCCACACGGGTGGTTGTCAAAATTATGGCCCCTTGTTGGGTACCCTAAACCCCTAAATATTAGGTGCCGTATTAAAATAAGGACCCAACAAGGGACCCTAATATTGACAGCCACCCACATGAATGAACCCTAAATCCCTAACCTCTACACCCTTAAACCCTGAAACCCGAAGCCTCACAGTCGAAACCCAAATCTCAATCCTAAACCCTCGCAGATCCCCTCTTCGAGTCCTGAAAGCCGTAAGAAAACCCGTAAACCCTGAAGCCCTAAATCCCGAGCCACCAAACTTCCTAACCCCTAAACCCGAAACCCTCAACCTTGACCCCTAAACCCTAAACCCTAACCCCTAAACCCTAAACCCTAAACACCCGACTGACGGATCCTTGCAGCAGCGTCGTATCGAATCTGCCGGGGCCAAGTTCACCCAGGAGCTGCGGGAAGCCGTAGCCTGATCTGGGTTCTTAGGGATTTAGGGTTCAGGGTGTCTTCAGGGTATTGGGTTTGAGGTTTAAAACCCAGTGAAGGGCTTGTGGACGGGCTGAATATTCGAGTCGACAATAGAGTATATCATTATACCAGGCTATGGTAGGCTATAGTATGTTATAGGATACCGTGGTGTAGTCAGCAGACTATTTTAGAGTATACCATGGTATGTTAAACTATCTACCCTGTAGTCTGTTATATGGTGTGGTATGCTCCGGTATTTTGCAACTCTATGCTTTAAGCACAATGGGCACGAGTCTTCACCGATGTCGCTGTAATGCTGAGCCCTAAACCGCAAAACCCGAAACACCCGACAGCCCGAACCCACGACCATACGTGCCCTGGTGACCATCTAAGTCTCCCCGCGAGGCAAGCCTGAGCCATCACGATGCCAAACATAAACTAAAATGTACAATTGTAGTACATTCTAGGGTACATTAGTGTACATTATACGATATATTACAATACATGGCGTTGTTATATTCGGGCACTTGGTCACCACTACACCCAGACCCTACACTGAAGCGACAACGCGACTACCATCACAAGCCAGCCCTAGTGCTTCGCGAGGTGAGTCGCAAACCCTACCCCCTTGCACCCGCGACTACATGAGATTAACAAAAGGAATAACATGGGATACTCTAGTCCAATACAGTATATTAAAGTAGATAGCAGAGAGCAAATCTTAGATTAGTATTCACATTAGCATTAGTATCCGTAAGCATATATGCTTTAATGTTGATGCTTGAGCATGGCATGCCATGGTGAGTTGAGGGTGGGTGTTAGTATCAGTCTTCCTATAGCGCTCAACCCTAAAACCTAAACTCTCAACCGATTATTGATCCTACCATTGAAGGGTTTTGGGAATAGGGCTTAGGGTTTAGGGTCTTTCGGTCTAGGGTTCCGGGTCTACGGTGGGTTGAAAGCTTTCTGGGATTTTCGAAAGGCATATCAGGTCTCCGAGTCAATGCGTCTACATCCAAGGTGCAGGTCGAAGGAAGCAACAAATCCAAAACGTCCATAAAAACGCTCATGAAACCGTATAAAAGCTTGTAATTAAACCGTATACTACCGTAAATATCCGTATACACCGTAGAAGCCCTTTACTGCGAGGCCCTTATAAAACCGAACAAACCCCTGTAAAACCCGCAGAATCCGTCGCGGAGCTGGAGCGAAGTGGCAGCCAGGAAGGAAGGCCCTGTGAGCTGGCGATTTGAGGTTTGCGGTTTTGGGTTAGAGTTTAGGGCTAGCGGTTTAGGGGTCTAGGGTTTGAAAAGCCTTCAAGAAGGCGAGGCTTGAGTATCATGAGGTTGGAAAGCAACGAACTCATCGCAACCAGAAAAGCACTAGAACAAGATATCACAAAGTAGCCCTAAACCCCAAACCCCAGACTAAACCCTAAACCCTAAAGCCCAATAAAACCTAAACTAAACTCGAAGCCTAGGCTGCCCCTCCGTGGGTGGGCGCTTCAGCCCTCACCTCGCAGAGCGCTATTTTGCGGCAAACTCCAAACTCTAGACCCTAAAACCCCAAACACTAAACCCCAAACCCTGAACCCCAAACCCTAAACCCCAAAACCCAAACCCCAAAACCCAAACCCCAAACCCTAAACCCCAAACCCTAAACCCCAAAACCCTGAATCCCGAAGACCTCAACCGAAAGAGCCTCAAGTTCCTTCCCATTCCGCCGCCGGAGTGATCGATCCAGTCTCTCCTGTTCCAAGAGCTTCGGGCGGGCGTTGAAAACTCAGAAAGAAAGCCAACCGTGGGCTTAAAGGCCTATAGTTTTCCAATCCAAGATTCTGGGTATGTGTTTTAGTGTAAGGATTGAAGGTTTAGGGTTTTGGGTTTAGTTTAGGGTTTGGTTTAGCCTTGAGGGTTTGCAGGGTGTCCGAACGGTTTGTCGCCCAGAACTGTGCGTCCCCACGTTGGGATTTCGGATGCGCTTCAGGCTTCGAGCTACCCTAAACCAAAGCTCTAGTTGCAACGATTATAAACCATAAATCCGAAACCCTAACAAGAATAGACGGAACGCAGAATGACTCCTGACCTCTGAGAAAATCACGTCAATCGTAGCCATGCAGGCTGACAGCAATCAACATGGAAACGTCAGTCCAGAGCGCAGTCGGTTTAGGGTTTAGGGGTAGTGCCAGAAATACTCACGATTGATCCAACGCCCTCTCCGATAACGGAACCACCCTGACCCTAAACCCTCCACCGATTAAATTCCCCCCTGAGAGCAGGCCAGCACGATGCGGAGGCGGATGTCACCATACGCCTCTGGCCACCCTCAACCCTCGGGCTCTACTTGGAGGATCAGGGGACTTGGTAAGTATGGTTATAAGTCCCCTAATTGGGGTTAGAAGTACTTATATGTATAGTTACCCTATTTATAACCCTAGTTACTAAGTCCCATGATCCTTTAAGTAGAGTTTGGAGTGTAGTGTTTGGTGTAGTGTTTAGGATGGAGAGTTTATTTTGGGCTTGGAGAGTTGATGCCTTCAACCCTATACCGTGACCCCCGCCAAACCCTCAAAGCACTAGATCCAAAAGTCCCTTGGAGTTGCCAACTTGGCCCTCAAAAGCTCTTCCGAGAAGCCGTGCTTCTTAGCAGAGTATTCCTGAAAAGCACAAAGAGGCCCTGTAACCTACTTGTTGGGCGTCATGGGAACTAAAGGTTAACCTTTTTGGTTATATAGAGATTATATAGGGACTATACTACCCCAAAAAGGTTAAAGGTTACCTACTCGACTACTGGGGTAAGAAGTAGAAGTCTGACTAGGGTGCCCTCAAGACGAATCTGAGAAGTCCACCTCTTCGGGGTCTCAGGGTAAAAGAGAGTGGGGCTCCAGGTCTAGAGTTTGGGGTGTAGGGCTTATACAGCTTAGGGTTTAAAGTTTAGGACTTACAGCTTAGGGTTAAAGTTTAGGGCTCAGCGTGTAGGGCTTAAAGTTCAGGGCTTAGAGTTTAGGGCTTAAAGTTTATGGCTTAGAGTTTCGGGCTTGGGGTTTCGGCCATCACAACACCTAGCCGCGGTCGTATTCGTAGTAATAATCGTAGCCGTAGTCGTAGTCATACTTGTGGTAGCAGTAGAGGCGGGACCAGTACTAGTACTAGAGTAGTACTAAGAGTAGCAGCAGTGGTAGTGCAGTAGTAGCAGCAGCAGCAGCAGCAGCAGTAGTAGCCGTACTATCTGTAGCTGTAGCTCCGGTAGCAACAACAGCAGCGGTAGTAGCAGTCGTAGCAGTAGCAGCAGCGGCAGCGGCAGTGGCAGTGGCAGTGCCAGTGCCAGTGGCAGTCGCAGTGGCAGTGGCAGTGGCAGCAGTAGGAGGAGGAGGCAGAGTAGCAGCAGCCGGAGTAGTTGAGGTTGTTGCTGATGCAAAAAAAGTTCATTAAATGAAAACCCGGCAGGTGGCAATGACCAGTGACGAGTCGACCCCGAGACCCTGCTATAGGATCATGAACCCGACGCCTTTTTCCTACAACCCATGACGCTCGAACCCCGGGCTTCTCGCTTTGCCCTAGTATGCATCAAATCTTTTGGGTTTGGGACTCCACGGTGGCCAGGTGGAGCCTTAGGGTTTAAGGTTTAGGGGAGGGGCTTACTGTTCTAAGGCTTCCGGTTAGTTCGAGTTTGCGTTTTAGGGTTTGCCAGGCAGCGTGTCCCCAAAAGCGCGTGCGAAAATCAGCGCCTCGAAACGATGGTCCAGGCTGAGGACGACCTCTGCATCCTGCAATCGCTTGCAATGTGGGAGTTTCTGGAAATTAGAGGTATCTGATTTTGGGGTCCTTATAATAAGGATCCTACTATTTAGGGAACTGTATTGGGGTCCCCTATTTCCGGAAACTCCCATGTGAGGCTGGTCCCAGACTTATGCCACTCACACAAACCCTACCACCTGGACCCTACATCTCTGCAAGCTGAGCCCCTTGAACCCTAAACCACAAACCTGAAGTCCATATAACTATACCCCGAAGCAGGGTTTGGATCGAGCCTGTAGTCAGGCATTGCTAAGCCCCAGTGCCCTTTTGATCGCACCACGGCGCGACGATCACCGGCGTGGCACCGCAACTCCAGACGTGCACGCCACAGGGCACGCCTACGCATCTGGCAAGCAAGGCGGACTGGTTCTCAGCCAACTCCGCGGGGCCTTCGTCTCCTACGGGCCCATCACACCCGGCCAGAGTATCGAGAACTGCGATTTGGTTCGCAGGTTATGGGACGAGGTGATAGACAGAAGAAACAATGGGAGCAACCAACATGGGAAGACGGAACCGGATATGGCAGCTATACTGGTGGACATGGGCCACCCTGGCACTTATGGGAAGGAGCGAAACATGTTTCGCCTCGTCAAAGGGCCAAGCCTGCCCTACAGTACGACCAGATGAAGGTGAGTGGCCATGCAACCGCACCCAAACAGCCGACACCGACAGAGGATGGCCCCAGCCAGGACACTGCAGCCCTCAGAGCCGTGCAGAAGGCTCTATCGGGCGCTCGGAGAGCAGATGGGAAAGTCCGACGGTTGAAGGAGGAGCTTCTCAGGAAGGAGGCCCAGTGGAAGGCATACAAAAAGGCCAAGAAAGCAGAGTTCTTGGCGGAGGAGCAGCGTTTTCAGAACGACCAGAAGAAGATCGAGGAGGCGATACAAGCCACCACTCAGGCCGGCCAGGAGGCCTCGCAGCTGCTTCAGGACCTGATTGCCAAGGGACCTGCGGCTATAGCTATGGAGACCGAGGAGGTGGCCGGCACATGGGAGGCTCTGCTCCAAGAGCCACCAACTGCCGAACCACCGGCGACAGGCTTTATGGCAGATGCCCTTCGTGCTGCCGAGACCCTCCAACAGGGATCAGGGCCCCCGAAGCTCAGCGAAGGTGGGCTGATGACACAAGCGGCTGCCCTGCAACTTTTGCAGGCGACCCTGGCTCAGCTACCTCCTGGCCTTGCGACAATGGGCGCGACAGTCCCACCGATGCCCACGGGTACCCCGGCGGGCCCGGGACCAGGCCTACCGGATGCAGACAGGGCGGGACCTCCGGCTTCGCCTTCTGGCCACGCCACTCCCTTCCCGGCCTCTCCATCTACTACCTCCCTGACTGCGCATGCGGCCCATCATGGTATGCCGACGACAAGCCCGGGACCGCGTACAAAACCGGGCAACAGACAGCCCGTAAAGGGCGTGGCGCTCCAACCGGTGCATACCGGAACAGGCCATACCGACAAGTTGGCGACGAAGCTCGAGGCGGCGAGGCAGCATATTCTCCAGACCAATGCCATGCAACCCTTCGGCTTGCCTCTCCCGACTGCCACAGGACCCTCGGAGAGTACAGGACCAGGGCGTCCTGTTTCGCTCTCAGAGGACGAAGAGGAACTGCGGGATGCCAGCCCGGAGAAGCCAGGTGGTGTATCTCCACCGGGTCTCGACGGCATGGGATGAGTCCTCACCCACGCTTCTTCCCAGGATGCTCTGCTTGTCTCCCTCACCCGGAAGGTACCGTGTTTGGTCAGCAACGGATGTGGTTGTTGCGTGACCGAGCTCGGCGGCCGGAAGGCGAGGTTCGAGATGGGCAATGCTCCTGTGGAAGAATAAGTGGTGAGTTGACAGCAGTGAGATGCTCTGAGCCGAGGTATGTACAGTGCTGCATAGGATGTTTCGTTCCAGCCGCCTTCCCAGCTCAGTATGACCCTTTTAGTGTCCTCGGTCAGGTTTTTGGGACACCACCGACTTGTCGTCAAGTTGATAGCCTCGCGCCATATTTCAAGGCAGCGGAAAGGCTAAGGCATCCAGGTGAGCAAGCGATCGGTCACTGGCGCCTAAGAGTTGTATCGGTGGCTCGGGGACACCCGCCGGTCGACGATCGCGAATGCTCCATTACATTAGGGCGGCCAGCCCACGGGGACAACTCCAAAAGCTGCGCTATTGCTACTAGCATACTTCCCAGTATGCTCGGCTTCAGTTTTGCTTGGATTGAGCAGCAGGCACAATCCTTGGGTCTCCTAGTTTTGCTTGGGTTGACCTTTTTGCTAGGCGATCTGCTGTCGCACGGCCTTTGCTTGAGGCACACCCGCTCCGGAACCCTAGTAGGACGGCCTGCCAGGAACCTGCGGCGTGAGGTACTTAAGGTCCTTGAAAGCCTCCTGCCTCCCAAGCCTCGCACACTTCGGCAGCACTGTCGTCAGCCCGGACGACGAGCCACAGTCAGGTTCCGGCGTTCTCAAGGGACCAGGCCTGTGACAACCCGTCGGCAGAGCTGCCACAGCTTTGGGATCTGTGGGGCCCTGCTTGCCTGCCTCAGAGTCCCTACCTGCCTGGCCCCGGCTTTTCCCTACTGTTCTGTGCCAGGCATTTGGCTACTCGCGGGCCTGCCGAACACTGCTTGTGCCATGCCGCGACTCCCACAGCGCGGCCCCAGCCATGCTGGACATCCCGATTACCTGCTTCCGCGCGGTACCCAGGAGACCCAGCCTGCCATACATTTGCACCCGGAACAGACCGTTGCCGAGACGGTATGGCCGCCGCACCTCTCAGCTGAAGGCCATAATGCTGAGGTTTTGCACGACGAAGGAGCCAGGCGCCTGTACCATACTCCAGAACGCACTACTGATGTTCTTGGCGCGGAATGGCTTGGTGTCATCGTAATGGCTCCCCATTACCAGACAACTGCATGGGCTATACGCTGCAATCGGGACCGGGGTCTTGACCAGCTGCTGTGTGATGTCTTAGACCTTGGCCCAGCCCTTTACAATAGGGAGTGTCGTTCTATCACAGCAGTGAAGCCACAACGACACCCGGGATATGCTATGCTTCTTGCCTTTCCGAATGTTCTGCCTGCCATTGGTGGCACTGGACTTGTTCCAATAGTCCTTGATATAAGCCAGCTTGGAGGACCATATTTTGCCAGTGCTCTCCCGCAGGGTCTCAGCCTTGAAGATATGCGAAACTTCATACTTCCACACACACGGTGTGACGTGTATGAGTTCCATATCTACATTGGCCTCAATACCGAGCCTTGGGATGGGGATACCGTTGCACAGCTTGAGCCAGGGGATGTCATTACGGCTAGACCTGTTCAGGGAACACCGCCTGACCCCCATGTGATAGAAGACCTCTTTGAGGCTGCCTCTGAGTGGGGACCGGCACATCACATACCCCTCAATCTCAGCACCCCGGGGTACTGTGTCCTGTTCGGCAGAGAAAGATATGTCATGCAAGAATGGCACCATCCCAGATGCAGCATTCGAGCGGCAGCTGCACAGCTTCTACGTAAGGACGAAGACGAAATTTCGGTCCATTTCTCTGACCGACTCCGGGACCTAGATGTACAAGGTAGTGCTTGCTGTGGCATTGTCACGGTGTTAGCCCTCCCTAGGCTCCAGCTTGAGGACCTCCAACACAGTAACCGTCAGGACATGTACATCATCTGTGACTTCAGACCGCTCGGTTTCCGCCCACATGCCTTCCACGCGCATACTCATAATTTCCATCTCCCGAGCCTGCTTGAGCTTGCCGAGATTCAACTCTCGGACGACTATGTTCTTGAGATAGACGGTGGACAGCGCATTGGGGATGAAATTCATGTTGCCGACAGCTCTACTCTTGTCTTCCGGGCCTCCCTTGCGCCTGATCATGGGGCAGCCGGAAATGAAGACGATGAGTCACATGGTGACGCTGATGGCACCACTGGCTTGCCGGATACAGATACTGACGGTGGATCGGATGGTGATGCTCCCCCATCCGAACATACCCATAGAGAGGGGTTTACCAGTCTTCCACTGTCGTTCCCCCCGGGTCACAGATATCAAAGCCGCTCGCCTAGACGACATCAACCGTCAGCTGCTTATACCAAAGCATACACCAATCCAAACACCAGTAGACTCGACACTGTCGGACCGGATAAGACCCCTAATGCCGTCGACCCACCCGTCTTGGATTTTGGTTTAGGCCCGATCACCTTGGCCTCGGTCCTTGACGTACCTTCGGTTGTTTGGGGTTTAGCAAGTCACGGATGTAGACCTTTTTGCAAGCCTGCAACTGCCAACCAGTCTGACAGTATCGAGGCAGCTGGCGGATGCTACCACACTCCCGCAGGCATGCGCGACCACCCACAACTCCAGCGCCCTTGTCTCGGAGGTCGCATGCCTACCGCGGGCCCCTGGCCGGGCCATTGGCCAGTTGCTCCGAACCCTATAGTTACTTCTGACTCGGACTCAGAAGAAGAGGAGGATCCCCTCCATTGGGAACCCCAGGTCCCATGTGCTGTTTATACCCCGTGTCTCCAGCCTGATGTACTCAGTGTTCCATTACGGGTGCCGGCCACAGTCCGTGATCTTGTTGAGGTCATGCAGGATGTGCGTCCAGAGCATTTGCGTCTTGCACTCCCAGAGCTTTTGCCTGCCAACCCTCAGCTTGGACGAGGCTACGCGACTTTCGTAGCCGTGCCGGATTGGCCGCTACCAGCAGAGGCAGCACTTGTTCTCTTCGACATGCGACGCATCGACTCTACCGTTTTCTGCATGCTAGTTCAAGGACCTGCCGATAGGTCCATGCTTCTACGACACGCTGGTGTAACAGACGACAGAGGACAAGAGGTGCATGTGGGGTGGGACCGCTATAATTTGCCAGCGGGACAACTTCGACGGATCACCCACGGCACCACAGTATGTATCGGCCCTGCGGGCCGCACGCCCTTCTTGACCTCGGCTATTGAGACGATGCTTAGACCCAACCATCCC